TACTCGGGAAGAGAGTCTGGTTCTTCCCCAACATTCTCGCTGATGACGCCTCGTTCTCGGAGATCATCAAGTTCTGGCCCGAGCCGCCCAAGGAGGACGAGAAGCCACCCAAGTGGACCTCTCGCCTCGCCTTTACGTGCGTTACCATCGGCGTCGTGTGGTTTTGCGTCAGGCATTCTCCTGATGAGGCAGCGCGAGCCAGGTCCGAAAGTTCTTTGTGTTTGTCACCTTTTCTTGTGCTTGACATCGTTCTTGCAGGTACCAGAAGGGTGTTTCCAATATCATTGACGAAATTCTCGAGTGGTCGCCCAAGCTCGCGCTGTCCGGGAAAGTGGAAGAGGCTGCCCCCGCGAACATCACCGAGGCAACCGAGAGCACCCAGCCAGCGAATGAAAAACCGGATTTTTCGAACGCGACTGAAGGGCAAGACCACGAACAGGAGCAACAGCAGAGATCAGAGCAGGAAATATAAAGAATGTGAGTTCTTACAAATAATTTGGCGACTGGTTACTCGTTTTCAGACTCTTTCTCGCGGCTAAGGCTTTCATATGGCCATGTTTTCCTGTTCTTCCCTTTCTACGTCCGAGGCATCGTCTTCCAGGTGGGCCGCAAGTGTGCTCTTGTTATGAGCCATGAACTTGCTAGCTCCGAAGCCCGGTTGCACGATTTTGGCAATCAGGAGACCGATGGTTATGGACAGAGCAACAACGAGCATGTCAAACACAAATGCCATGCCTGAAGCTACGTCCCTTCCAAACATGGCCGCAATGCCTTCCACTCCAAGGCCTCCAGGAACCAAGAGTAGAATACCGGACAGCACCAATGCGAGAGGCAATTCTCCCGTCAGGTGAGAGTACAAAGTTCCTGTGGAAAACGAGCTATCGTCTGGAACTTGAAACTTAAGACAAGAATTACCAGTGATCCCCACTGAGAACGCGGCGAGTACTGTCGATGCACTTGTTCCTAGCTTGTCTGTGGCATACGCAACGACATAGCCGACGGTCGCAGCTAGTCCCATCCCTGGCCATTGGCTCAACCGAGCATTCAGCAGGATATTGGAAGCGACGATATATCCGACTAGCCTGCACGAGTGGAAGAAAAAAGCTCAAGCCTCTTAACGCTTTTAAGAAAAGTACCATAACGTGTTCCACCACTTCGAGATTGATGGAGGAGTACAATGAGCCTTGTCGTGAGCCTTTGACCACCACAAGAAGCTGTCCCCGATTGCCAATCCAAATCCAAGCTGCAAGGCCGAAAAGAGGCCATGAATTACGCGTGAGGTGCCGGTGACGTGAGACTTGGCAACCATCTCGCTCACACCAAGAGTGAGAGGCATTCCTGGAGAAGTAGAAGCCATTACGAGTCATTGTCACAAGCAAGTGTTTGATATACTTTACCTGGAAGCAATTCCACCAGAGCCGAGAGTGCCAGTGAAGAAACACATAGCTTCAGCTTCTTGAGGTAGATTGAAAATACTCTGGCCAGGAACGAAACCAGCACTGCCACAATGAATTCCATGACACTGGCGAAGAGTGGCCAGCGTGATGCAACAATGTCAAGCACGCCGACCAAGAGTCCGAGAACAAAGCTGAAGAGAGCGTCCCAGAGATTTCCTGCCATGCTTAGTGAGAGTCTCTGCGGGCTTACTTTAAGAAGTGCTTACCATTGAAGAAGAGAAGCGAAGCCATTGAAGCAGACAAAGCGTAACTAAAGAGCCGCCACCAAGTTCCAAATTCCTGGGGCGCGGTAGCGATTGCTTTTAGTCTCCAGTAGGACAGGACGAGTGGAGTATCTCGCTTTCCCACGCTAATGGCGAGCTCGTCAGCCCGAGCGAGCTTTCCAACATCGAGTTCACTCTCAACAGTTATGAGATGAATCTCAGACCTGGGAAAGAAGAACGAGCGTTGTCATGGATTTGTCAAGCTACTCAAGGAGAAATTTACTTACGAGAGATCGTCGTCGATATCGTTGAAGGACAGAAGGATGAGCGTTGGAAACACAGCAATGTTGGTATCTACGTGAAGCCTCTCCGCCGCGCGCTCGATCAAATGCTCAGTCCTCGACGCCGAGCTGCCGTAAGTGTGGAGAGCTATGGCAAGGCGGAAGAGGAACCTCCGCCGCAGCTCATGGCTACCGTTCTTGGAAAAATCACGATTCTGCGAGGTATCCACAGGGACTCGGCGATTGAAATACCTAGGGGAAGCCACGAACGAGCCCTTCCTGCGGAAATTTGGAGATGGCGCTCCTCTTCCTCCTTCCTCGGCCGATGTCGACGCAGCAGCGAATCCACTGGTGGCCTCGATGAGCTTCTCCCGGATCCCTGACAGCCCCAGCATTGGATCGATCTTCGCATTTCCTGGAGATTAGGGCCCAGACGATCGAGCTCCCTGGGGGATCAATGCAATGCTCACTCTCATTCGCTCATCCTAGCCTAGAATCGATCGCTTTCTCTTCTACTGCTCGAGAAAGAAAATATTTGCGCCGGGCGATCGACGAATCGCGCCATGGCAAACGCCACGCCACGTAAATAAGAAGACAGAGGTTAGGGTTTTCGCGCCAGCACACTCTTTAAAAAAAAGTACATGGCCAGTGATGTGATTCGAACCGCGGTGGTGCGATGGAATCTCGATGGGTGGAGCATATCCATATTCTTTTGTCATATTCTCATGCCCGAAATATAAAGTCTGGGGTTCGATTCCCTTTACTGCCACCACCTCTATTTTTTTGGCCTTCCACAATGGGCTCCATCGCTGGCGAGGAAGAGCGCCAAGGAGCTGGCGATTGCGGTGGATGCTGCGGCATTGGTAGGGTTTACGTCAAGGAGGATGATCCGTCCCAGCCGGCGCAATGGCGGGAATGTAGCCTGGGGTTTTCCGAGATTTGCAAGGCGGAGCTGGTGCCGGATGCTCTCTTCCAGGCCAAGATCGATGCCGACGGCGCTGGCGCCGCTGTGGATGATGCCAAATGCGCGTGGCTTCGATCGCAGCTCATTGGATCAGGCTACGAGCTCTCCACTCCGTTTGGCAAGCGGGATCTATTCTACGCCGATTACACCGCCTCCGGCCGATGCTTGTTCCACATCGAAAGCTTCATCACGCAGAATATCATGCCTTTCTACGGTGAGTTCTTCCTTGCTCCTAGCAATTCCTTCGATCTGCTCGAAATATTTTGGTTCTGGTTCTTACTTTTATCTTTCGATTCCCAGGGAACACTCACGCCGAGGATAGCTTCGTGGGAGACACCACTTCCTTCCTGGTGAACGAATCCACTCGCTACCTCAAACATTCGCTTGGAGCTACCGCCGACGATGCGCTCCTCTTTTGTGGCTCCGGATGCACTGCTGCTGTGAAGCGCCTCCAGGAGGTCATGGGCCTCGCAGTGCCTTCCATTCTCCGGGACCGAGTTGTCAAGACACTCAAGGACGAAGAGCGCTGGGTGGTGTTCATTGGCCCGTTTGAGCACCACTCTAATCTCTTGTCCTGGCGCCAGAGTCTTGCGGAGGTGAGTCAGATCAATCGATATCTTGTCTCATGAAGTTTCGGCTCTACTGTAGGTGGTGGAAGTTCCCACGAACAAGCAAGGACTACTCGACGTGGAGTTTCTCGAGAAGGCACTCGCGGATCCAAAGTTTGCCGGGCGTCCCAAGCTCGGCTCCTTCTCAGCATGTAGCAACGTTACTGGAATTCTCGCGGATACACGAGCAATCGCTAGGCAGCTCCACCGCCACGGTGCGCTTGCTTGCTTCGATTTCGCTAGCTGGTAAACATTTTCCCTTTTTTGTTCGTTTGGATAAGACCAAGCCCCTGGCATCGATTCTCACTCCCTCTTGCTCTTTCGATCAGTGGTCCTTACGTCCGCATCGAAATGCGCGCTGGAGAGCTCGATGGCTACGACGCGATTGCTTTGAGCCCCCACAAGTTCGTTGGAGGACCTGGAACACCTGGGCTGCTGCTGATCAACAAGAATCTCTACTTGCTGCGTGACAAAGCACCATCCACGCCTGGGGGTGGCGCAGTCGACTTCGTCAATGGCTACACGGAAGAAGTGAGCTCAAATCTGTGGTCCATAGCTGAAACGAAGAAAACGTGACTGATACCATTTTGGCAGGATACTTTATACCTGAGGGACATTGAGGCACGAGAGGACGCCGGAACGCCACCGATTCTCCAGAAGATCAAGGCTGCTTTAGCGTTTTGGATCAAAGAGGAGATGGGATACGAGCTCATCGAGTCCAGAGAGCAGTACTTCATCACCACCGCGCTGAAGCGACTGTCAGCCAACCCGAACGTGATGCTGCTGGGAAACACGGAGGCGAAGCGTGCTGCTATTCTCTCGTTTCTTGTCTACGCGACGGAACCGGGTGACCAAGTTTTGGAGAAACGAAAGATCCTGCAAGGCCGGTTCATTGTCAAACTCTTGGACGACTTGTTCGGCATCCAGTCGAGAGGTGGCTGTTCCTGTGCCGGGCCTTACGGCCATGCTCTTCTCAATGTCGACCACAACGTCTCCATAAAGCTCCGCGATGCAATCCAGAGAGTAAGTTTCCAATCCATCTAGACCATCTTCTAGCTCATTCTGTTGTTCCTTCGTGTCCAGGGATATGGTGGAGTTCGACTTGGATGGGCTCGCTTGAACTTTGCGTACTTCATGTCGATCGAAGAGTTCGAGTTCGTGCTGTCCGCTATCGAGTTTGTTGCCGAGTACGGCCAGCGTTTCATTCCGCTCTACGAGTTCAACTGGAGATCCGGAGCCTGGACGTTCATGCCCGAGTTTAAATCCAAGTACGCGGCACTAGCCGAGGAGGAGAAGCTTGAGGACGAGTTGCCGGAAGTGAAGCACAAGACGTATCTGGAAACGGCGATATCAATTGCGAAACTCCTGCCGGAACATCCTCAAGAGCGAGACGTCCCCAAATACATCGATCCAGTGCTAGTCGATTTTAGAGTTTGATGAGAAGTAGCATTCGACAGTGGCTGGAAATGATACTGATAAAGCAAAAATAATAAACGTTTGTGTCAATGTCTTATTGACTATGCAATGGACCTTGGAATCAATCTAATGGGAAACATCCGTACCTGAGAAGCAAAAAGATTCTTTCCGGAATTTACAATGGCCCGCCTCGTTGGTGCTCCTAAGCAGGAATGGCAGCGACATTTTCTGTGGATGCTGGTGCTTGTTCCACTTGCGTGTTATTAACATATTGATCGAGGCCATTGATACGGGTGATCCTTATCCGCGTGAGCATCTGGAACGCAGAATCACATAAAATCGTTAACATAGGACACGCCAAAGATCGCTAATAGTAAAACAAAGATTATACTTGGCGATGGCCCTTGGTCCTACGATAGTTCTTCCTTCGTTTCTTCTTGAACACGATGACTTTGGCATCTAGAGCCTGAGAAAAGTCACTAGTGAGCAAAAAATAGATTACTTTGAGGAGCAACTTACATGCTCCTCCACAATCGCAGAAATGGTAGCTTCAGGCACAAATGGCCTTCCAACAACAGTTTCTGTTTTCGTCCCCAGTAGCATCACCTTGTGGAGCGATAACTACCCAAGAACACGAAAAGAAATCAAAAGCTTCGTTAAAAAACAAAAAACTACCAAAGAAAAGTTTCACCTTGTCATTCACATTTGCGCATTTCAGCCTCTCGATGTAAAGAACGTCGCCTGGAGTCACTTTAAACTGCTTCGCTCCAATCTACGTAGACAGGAAAAAAAAACAAAAAGGCTTAAGATTTTGCGTAGAACACATTGAGCAATCAAAGTACCTGGAAGACTGCAAATGCGTCCTGCCGTGGGATAGCCAGAGGCTTGTCCACTACCAGGCGTCCAACGACGGTATAGCCCAAAGCCTTCATAATCTCATCGGAGTTCCTCTTTCGATCGACACCGCCAAAGGACATCACACGGACATCCCTCGGCTCCACCCCGGGCTTGAGATCCAGCTCCATTCCCAGGCTCTGGCTCTCGCGCCATAGAGAATGCAGCTTCCTCAGACCTAATCCAAACCTCTGCGGCGCCTCTGGACGATCGAACAAGGCGCCAGAGGAGCGGATCATCGCGATCGAGAGCCGCCTCCATGTCCCCATTCTGGCGCTTAAACCCTACTTCTCCAAGCAAATATTTGGCTACCCTAAAATTCCCCAAGAGCCCTAGAAAACGAGGGTGTGGTGATTTTGGTCTCTCTCGGCAAGAGATCGCGGCGGCGCCATCATGTAAGCCTCTCTCTCCCGGCTCACATTCCGTGTGATCTCGCCATGGCTGCTAGGTCGGACGATGCGGAGGAGCTCCAGGATCCCAAGCTTGAACTGGAGGAGATGTGCCGGCCGCGATGCGTTAAGCAATTTCTTGCCTACCAGGTAGAGCCCAAGCTTCGATTTCTTGCTCTGGAAACGCTCGGCGATGGATGAAACAGGCGTGTTGCAAGCGAATCGAGGACGATGACACTGGATCGAAGCATTGCACGGGGCAGTACCTGGATTTCTGGAACTGCATCGACAAATGCGTGAGTTTTGCTCGATCAAGATCCCTTCTTTTCGCTGTTCTTGAGCTTCTTGCTTTTTGCCCTCTCTTGGCAGGTATCGAGGCGGCTTTTTGATCGATTAAAATGAGTAGACAGAAGAAGAAGAACAAGGTCGTGATCGTGTGCCATGCTCCCAGATTTATCGAATAAAAGGTCACGAATAAGCTACATTCTATACTTTTTTTTTCCTGTGCTATCTTTAATGAGGACGAAGAGTTCCGTTGCTAGCTTAGAGGGGAAAAAGTCTTCGCTTGCGCCAGGAGCTAGGGTTCTATAGGTTCTCGGTGGCTCGATCGATCGATCGGCCAGCGCATCGCGAAATTTCGCATCGCAATGCTAAATGCGAGCTCCAGGAGGCAGTGATTGGCAGTGGCGCCGAGAGATTATGGGATGTTTGGCGGTGGCGTTCTTGTTGTGCTCGATCCTGGCGCTTGCGGCGGCGGATCCAGCTCCTGGCAGGAGGATTCACACGCTCTTCTCGGTGGAATGCAACAACTACTTCGATTGGCAGACCGTCGGGCTCATGCACAGCTTCCGGATCAGCGGCCATGTCGGGCCGATCACGCGGCTTCTCAGCTGCACGGACGAGCAGCTCGGGAGCTATGGCGGCATGGATTTGGCTCCTACGCACGTTGTTCCTTCGATGAGCAAGCATCCCGTCACTGGAGACTGGTAAGGAATTTCTCGTATCTATCTACATTTGTTCTAAGATGTGTTCTTCGTTCCAGGTATCCTGCGATTAACAAGCCGGCTGGAGTTGTCCATTGGCTCAACCACAGTGAGGACGCCAAGAAAGTAGACTGGGTGGTGATCTTGGACGCTGACATGATCATTAGAAAGCCTTTGCTTCCATGGGATCTAGGCGCAGAGAAAGGAAAGCCAGTCTCTGCGTCTTACGGGTAAGTTTTCACGACGTTCTTCAATCCGAGACAAGAGAAGTTCTTGATATTTTGATGTTTGTTCGTAGATATCTCATTGGATGCGATAACATCCTTGCACAATTACACACCGCTCACCCAGAGTTTTGTGACAAGGTTGGTGGTTTGATAGCTATGCATATTGACGACCTTAGAGCTATGGCACCTCTCTGGCTTTCCAAAACGGAGGAGGTGAGACAAGATAAAGAACATTGGGCCACCAACATAACGGGGGACATTTACAGCTCGGGATGGATCAGTGAGATGTATGGTTACTCGTTTGGAGCTGCCGAGGTTTGTAATTAAGTTTCTGGGACAGACTTTACAATCTTTTCATTTTTGTCACACAGGTAGGATTGCGTCACAAGATTAACGATGATGTGATGCTGTATCCCGGCTACACTCCCAGAGCTGGTGTGGAACCTTCTCTGCTTCACTACGGACTCGGTTTTAAAGTAGGAAACTGGTCCTTTGGCAAAGCAAGTCACAGGGATGATAATATTGTCTACGATTGTAATCGTCTTTTCCCTGCTCCCCCACATCCGGACGTGGTACGAACAATGTTATTCTGTTTTCTGTGCTGTTCTCGATTAAGTTTCTTGTTTCCTGTTGTGCAGGTGAGAGGAATGAACGCAAACGAAGATGAAGCTCGAGGTTTTCTCTTAAGCGTTGAATGCATCAACACAATTAACGCGGGTCTTGTTCTTCATCACGAAAAGCGGGCCTGCCCGAAGCCCAAGTCAGATTATGTGAGCTTCTTGAACTACCTCTTGAAACCTTCAGCACACAGTAAGAAGGCTTCGGAAACAGTGAATGCCGAGCAGCAAGAACCTCGGCCATATCCGAAAATCCATACCTTGTTCTCTGCTGAATGCTCGGCCTATTTTGACTGGCAAACGGTTGGTCTCGTCCATAGCTTCAAGCTCAGTGGTCAACCTGGATATATCACACGGTTACTTAGCTGCAGTGAGAAGGACTTGAAAAGTTACAAAGGAATGGATCTCGCTCCGACGCATCTGGTACCATCGATGAGTGTGCACCCTCTCACCGGAGACTGGTACGTCTTTCCCGATGTCTTGTTATCCCTTTCTTTGGTGTCTCAATACGTCTTTGCAGGTATCCAGCCATCAACAAGCCCGCTGCAGTGTTACATTGGCTACATCACGTTGTAACCGATGTGGATTTTCTCGTTATTTTAGACGCGGACATGATCATGCGAGGACCAATAACGCCATGGGAGTTCAATGCAGAGCGAGGACACCCAGTTTCAGCTCCATACAAGTAAGAAAATCATCTGCTACCTCAAGTCGTGTTTGTTCTGATTGTGTGCTTGCTGCAGCTATCTGATCGGCTGTGACAATGAGCTTGCCCAGCTTCACACTCGACACCCGGAAGCCTGTGACAAAGTTGGAGGAGTTATTATCATGCACATCGAGGACGTCCGAGCTTTAGCACCACTTTGGCTTTTCAAGACTGAGGAAGTTCGAGCTGACAAAGCACACTGGGCGACCAACATCACAGGAGATCAATACGCACACGGCTGGATCAGTGAAATGTACGGATACTCCTTCGGTGCTGCAGAGGTAACAAAGAAAGTACCATACTATACTTTGATCTTCAACTTTTTTTCTTCTTCGCTCTCACAGATTGAGCTAAGGCACAGGATTCGTGACGACATCATGCTGTATCCCGGCTATGTACCTCAAGAAGGAAGTGAGCCGAGGGTGTTGCATTACGGTCTCGAGTTCTCAGTAGGTGACTGGAAGTTCGACAAGGCAGACTGGCGAAACGAGAACATGACGAGCAAATGCTGGAGGAAATTCCCAGAGCCCCCAGATCCGTCCACTCTCACGACTTCGGACAGAGGCGAGCGCCGCCGGGACGAAATAAGCATCGAATGCATCAGCACAATCAACCAGGCACTCGACATCCATCACAGGAAGCACGGTTGTGTTGCTGCTGCTACGACTACCACTACTACCACTGCTGCGAACTCCAGCATAGCATTCGGAAGCCGCGGAGAAGCAAAGCAAGGCTCTGAGGAAGCAGTGGTGGTGGAAAAGTCGGTTGACAGGGAGGCACTCAACAGTTTCATGGCATCCAATCGACGACGCAGTGTTTTGGAGAGATTCAAGCGGCTGCCAGTGATAAGTCTCAGCCCGAGGTACTGGATGATCGCGCTGTGGACGCTCCTGGTAAGCTGCTTCTTGCTGGTTATCTCAGCGATTTATTCCAGGCAGCGCAATCACCATGAAAATGGTGGGACGAAGAAGATCTCAAGGAGGAGAAACAAGCTCCTGGCGGAGGAAGAATCAAATGGTTCTTCACAGTCGCTAGATCAGCCATAGCTTAACAATTTTTGTTCTTGTTGATGAAATAAACCGTGATCGCGTGAAATGCGGCGAGCCCTTCGATCTTTTTCTAAGGTTTAAGTTAGGGTATAGTCATTTTATTTTGCTCCTCTCGATGGGAGGAGCTGTGGCGGAGCGCCGCTTGAGGCCGCTATGGGACGCCATCGAATCGCGGCAGTACAAGTCGGCGCTCAAGCTCGCATCGGCGCTGCAGAGCAAGCATCCCGACGCACCATACGTTGTGGTGAGTGATTTGTGGCATTGTGATGTGCATTGTGTGGAAGAATGCGTCAAATTGTGGCATTGTGTCTTGGCACAGGTTCTCAAGGCTTTGGTTCTGGAAAGATTGGGCAAGCCCGATGAAGCTCTTGCCTTGTGTCGACAAGCCAAAGACATGCAGCCAATCGATGACATGACTCTCAAGGCATTGCAGCTTGTGTACCATCGACTGGGTCTATGTAAGTTTCTTCCTTTCGAGGTTGAATTAATATCCTGCCTGTTTTGCAAGTGGAAGAATCTACGCTTGCTTACGAGAATGCTTGCTCCAAAGATCCCGGAAACATGGAGCTCTTGATCAGCTTTTTCAACTGTCATGTTCGCCAATGCAATTACGTGAAGCAGCAACAGGTATGTAAGGTTTTGTGTTTTTCGTGACGTCTATCGGACGAGTTTTTCTGACAGGTAGCTATGAAAATATACAAACACACCGGAGAGGAGAAGTATCTGTTCTGGGCGGTTTGCAGCATTTACCTGCAGGTATTGGCTTCGTATTTTTCTTGCCAGTTTGATTTTTCCTCAGGCACTTCAATGTAGGTTAGGCCCGGAAATGCAGCGGAAAAGCAATTACTGGCGCTGGCCGAGGCATTACTGAAGAAAAGAATAGACGCAAACGGACTTCATGACTTGGAGGGTACTTCGTTCTTTTGTTTTGTTTCCTGTTACTAATGGCTGGTGTTGTTCACCTGACAGGTCTTCGTCTTTACATATCTCTATATCTAGCCCAAAACAGAATTGAAGACGCTCTGGGTCTTGTGAAAGGCGAAATGGGTGCGTTATTTAACATTCCAATAGAACGCTTAAAACTCCAGGTGATAATGAACAAGGCAGGCATGTAGTGGTTTGACATCTTTTTCTATCAGGGTGAGCTCCTGATGCAAATGCATAAATACTCCGATGCGGTTGAGACTTACAGGGAGATCTTAAGCATAAGGTTGGTAGTCTCGATCATTTGTAATTTACTCGTGTTTCTTGGCAGCTCAGATGACTGGACCGCTATCATACAATTTATCAATGCGTCCTTGGAGCTAACTGGAGATTGCTCTACCGTGGACAAAGTTGCTTTGCAACTGTCGTCTTTGAGTCTTTCAGCTAATGAGGTTCGATATTCCAACCAAGGATACTTCACAAACTCCATCTGTTTCTGGCAGACGCTTGAGCGGCTTGGGAAAGTAGCTGATTTTATTAGCAGTCTTCAACGTTTGGAAACAACCGAATTAAGGAGAGGTCCATTTCTTGCAATGGTGGAAATCGAGTTCAGAAGGCTACTGCATGGTTCCGAAGGTTCAAATGCTACAATGGCGTTGGCTGCAAGCATTTTAAATTATTTTCAACGGTGAGTGTTTTTGAAGTTATGAAGGAGGTCTCTTCTTACTCCTCTCGCAGTTTCGGACACCTGGCAGGTTTCTTCTCCGATGTGAAACCTTATCTGTTAGTCTTGGATCCCCGCTCTCAGGAATGGCTTGTCAATCAGTTGGCTGAAGATCTTGCAGCTTTAGCAGACACGGCCGGACCTGTTCAACTCCTTAGGAAAGAGATTTCAGCATGTCAAGTTCAAGAATATACAGGACACTTAGGAGGTGAGCTAGAATTTATGTTATATACTTTTAAAGTTTTACTACAGGTGATCCTTTGGAAGTTGTGAGGAGACTGGTGAGATTGTACAAGGACAACTTGAAGTATTCCGTGAATTTGGACCCTGAAGAGAACATACTTGGCGAGGAGTTTCTCGTTATGGCTGCTAGTCTGTTGGTCAAGGTAATGCATTTTGTCCTTCTAAAACTCAAGATCAAATGTTTGCATTGGCTTAGCTGTTTCTTCAAACGAGGCAATCTACCTATTTCCTTGAAGCGGCCGCTGTACTTGAATTTGGTCTGCACTTAAGGAGGTATCTAACATTATGAAGGTGCATTATGTTGAAACTTTATATTCTTTTCGCACAGGTTCAGCTCTCATTTCAAGGTTATGCTTGTTAGTCTGTATTCGAGCATCTTTGCGACTTCTCTTGCAGTTGAATGGTGAGTTGGTTTTTTTCAAGATCATTGTTTTCAGAAGTGTTTCGCTATCCAGGTTCCGGACTTTGGATGTGAAGAACATTCTTTTGGAGTCTGCTTCGCATCATATATTACCGCTATTACTTGCAGCGCCGCATTCGTCTGCGTTGCTGAATGATACTGTCAAGTTTCATGACGATTCCCAGCATGAAGTGGCAGAAATGACCATCATGACATATAGACATGGCAATTACTCAAAGGTTTGTGTTTCTTCGCTGTTCACAGCACTAAGCTGTCAACTTGCAGATCGTGGAATTTCTGGAGCTGAAGGAGCGACTTGAAAACTCTCATCACTATTTACTTGTACGAGTTGAGCTGTCAATTTTTTCTCTGAAGGACAAAGTTGAAGAACTTGATGCGCTAGAAGTATGTATTTTGCTGCATTCTATTTTCTCATAGGACTACTTTACAGGCTACTCTCGCGAAATTGGAGAATGGTAATGATCTACTGAAATGGTCTTCGGAAAATCGTCTTGCAACACTGTCGTTCAATGAGGATTGTGAAAGTCGTCCCTGGTGGTCACCGGTTCCAGATCAAAATTTTTTGGCAAGAAGTTCTCCCTGTTCGACGCAAGAAATTGCCACCATCTTTCCGAGCTCAAAGGCGAAGGTAACCGAATGAGTATAAGTATTTTATTCTCTCATATGGATCTTCTAGCAGGCACAAGTGACAGCAACTGATCATGAAAGATGGCGAGCATCCGTAAAACGAAGAAGCTTAGTACCACGGCTTTTGTATCTATCCCTGAACGCGTTGTCGTTTGAGAAAGATCGCGATGAGAGACGCGAAGAGTTGCGACAACACCTCGAGTACTATCTGAAGAGTTTGGACAGAAATTGGAGCACGATAGATGACTTCATCTCGGAATGCAAGGTAGTGAGCGACCATCCAGTTTATAAGTTGAAGATACCAAGCCACCTCATCCTCCTTCTTCCGCAGGACGAGAAGCTAAACCTTGACGTGGATGCTCAACTCTCCATCTTGCTCTTCGTGCTAGGCTGGGAATTGGCCTCATGGTCGTCGTCATCAGAAGATAGAATCGTTCACTTGATGGCTCTCGTCGGCAAAACCTTGACAACAGGTGTTACCAATCTACTGCAGTCGTGTGACGACACACTGGGTTTCGGAACAGGCATGCCGGCATTGGTGAAGGTGATCACGGAACCGGTTTCCTGGCTTGTACTGTCGGCCCAGGCATGGACGAAGAAACTCCAGCCATCCTCCAAGAAGAAGAGAAGAGGACCAAGCGAGCCAAGCGAAGATACAAGGAACGCATCCAGGATCGTAGATGGTCTCCGGGGGCTCGTCGCCAGCACCACTTCAGCGATTGAAAGGGTGGTCTTGTGGCTGACAAAACGATCTGGAAGCCGAGAAGAGGACGAGGTGGAGGCGCTGCTATTGCTGCTTAGAAGTGGGAGCGGCAGTGGAGTGGTGGAGCTGCTCGAGGGACCGTCTCCATTTGCGGCGTGGAAGGCCGAGGATTTGGCTACGAGGATTGTGGCGAGCCAGCGTGAAGAAGTATCAAGGCTGGGAGAAGTTTGCAAATCTAGGCTCAAAATTTTGGTGAAGCCCAAGTTTTAAGTGACCATTAGGAAAACTGCCTAAAATTTATTTAAAATGATTCAAGTGTAAGATAGCTTTCTAGACTATCCAAACTAATTTCTCGCGGAGTATATAGAGTAACGCCGTTGCCGGGGATCGAACCCGGGTCGTCCGCGTGACAGGCGGAAATACTTACCAGTATACTACAAAGTTTAAACCATAAACCCTAGGGCTTTAATCGAAAAGGGGAATGGGGTCAGAGAGCACGAGGAAGAAGGCGATGTTAATGCCTCGAGGAAGAGCACGGTGGCTCACATTTGTCGACCAAAGGCTGCAGGTACCTGGCGCTCCATTTTCTTTCTCCATGAGTGATCTGAGAGCTCGGCCTTGTTTTGGGTCTTGTCTTGGCAATCAAAATGCTAGCAGGCAATGGACGGAAGAATCGTCCCTTTGGAGACGCTAGATCCTTCGTCGTTTGCTGTTTCTTGGTGGAAGCGATACGAGGTAAGATCTTTCCAGGTCTCGAGCGAGCGAGCAAAACCTCCGTGTGTGTGTTTTCTAGCGGCGTGTCCATTCAATCTCACCGCGCTCGACTTTACTCGAGTCGCCTCCGCTTGTAGCGATCGATCCGAGAACTTTGCAAGGATCCCAAGTTGCTGCAAGAGAATTGACGCTCTGGTCGGGATCGCCGCTGCACAGCACGCAAACTCGAGCGGAGATCTCTGCCTGTCCAAGCCGGCGGCGAGCCTGTGCTTGAGCTCGCTGGTGGCAGCACTGGATTCCAATGGCGTGCATCCACAGGCCTCGCGAGCTTGCGGAGTTCCAATGAGTCTGAGAGGCCAGTGCCAGTGCAAAGCCGCGGCGCGCGTTCGCGACATTGTTGGAGCTCCCGGATTTGAAGGGGTGGTGGCGAGTTGCGAGTCTTTTGGCGGTGGAGAGATGAATAGCTCTCGGTGTTCCAGATGTTCCGCCGCTGCTACGAGGCTCGCCGCCTCCATCGCCGCTCCAAATCCGCCCAGAAGTTGTCAAGAGGCCGTGTTTGTGGCGCTGGCGAGCTTCGAGGATTTTAAGTCGGCCATGCACAAGGCTTCGTGCTTGTTCCAGCTCCAGCCTCCAAAAAAACTCACTGGTAAGTTTCTTTCTCCTAGAAGTTGATGGATCATTTTTTTCTTGTTTCGAAGGTCCTAATCCAAAGTTCACAAGTTCATCTTTTTCTTTCCAAGTTCTGGCTCAAGTTCTTGTACTAATAACCTCTTGTTACTTCTCTTGCAGAGTGCCCACTCAAGCTCACGCCTTGGCAGCTCCAAAACGTAGCAAACGTTTGTAGCAGCAGCGAAAGTCCAGAATCCTCCTGCTGCTCGGTTTCACTCCTTTTCCTCCGGATCGCGGCCTCGAAACTGGGTAAAACTTCTGGCGATTTCGTCATCCCCCAGAGGCTGGCAAGAGCTTGCATCGACGATCTCGGGCCCCGGATAGCCTCGTCCAGGCAGAGAGTTTGCTCCATCTCCTCGGACACCATCGCAAACTCGGCGAGGAGGGGGTGTAACAACATCGTGAGCTTGCACGATCTCGAGCACAGGCTTACGGAGCGAGACTTTTCCGTCTCGCGTGTTACGGAGACCTGTGATCGCTCTTCGTGCCTCGAGTGCCGACGAGCAGCCTTGGATGCCGCGTACGCTGCTGCCTGGCCTTATGTCGACGCCACCACCTTGCAGCACTGCATGGACTTGACGTTTCTCATGCTGGCCAGCAACGCATCCGCGATCAGAGCAACGCAAATCGGTGGCTGCTTGTACGCTCTGCCTGGTGAGTCTAATCGAGCGAGAAAGATCTTTGAAAAAAATCCTCTTTTCCTCGTTTTTTTGTTTTCTTGTTCGTCATTCTAACGCTGTGAAGTTTGTTTCTGTCTTCCTTGACAGTGTTTACTCCAGAAGACGATGTTGCTGTGACCGCCGTGTCTTCTTCTTCTCCTGCATTGCCTCCAGCTCGTCCAGAAGACGATGTCTCGATGTCGTTGCTCCCAGATCCAATCAACAAGTTGGCACATCAATCTCCATCGCCGGTCACGATCGTGTTGGCGATTGGGATTGGGATCACGGGTGCTACAGTGGCAATTCTCTTGGTGTTGGTGCTCCTGCTGCAACGTAAGAGAGAGGAGAGCGTGCCTCTGTGGAGCAAAGATAGCGCTCTCGACGTCTGGCAAGGATCAGGTAACAAGAGTTGGAAAAATCTCTTCCTCTCTCTTTTGGTTTTGCTCCGGTTGAAACTTTGTCTCTTTTATGGCTACAAACAAACATGTCCTTGCTTGCTGCAGAGGCTCTCCGCGCGCTGCGAAGGTTTAAATACTCGGAGATAGAAAAGGCGACAAACCATTTCCATAGTTTAATCGGCCAGGGGCGCGGTGCTGCCAGCGCTGTCTACCGAGCAAAGTTTAAAGATGGCCTGGTCGCCGCAGTGAAGAGATTCCATGCGGCACCTCAGCCGCAGAGCGAGGAGGAGTTTAAAAACGAGGCACATTTTCTGGGCCGACTCTACCACCGCCATCTCGTCAGCCTTCGAGGATTCTGCATGAGAAAGAACGAAAGGTTTGGTTTTTTCTTGGTGTTGTCTTACGTTACGTTTACTTCTCCTTAATGCAGGTTTCTCGTCTACGACTTCATGGAGAATGGTAGCCTCAAGGAGCGTTTGCATTTGCACCACCGTGGTACCTCAACTCAAAAAAAAAATCTCTTTGCAAAAAACGAGAACTGTTGTTTTGCAGGGAGAAGCAATGGCACGCTTTCATGGCAGAGACGGCTTCAGATCGCCATCGAAGTTGCAACTGGGATGGTAAGTTGTCAAATTTTGTTAGTTTTAGACTTCTGGAATAAGAAGAGGTTTTTCTTTCCCTGTGGAGTATAAACTCATCACTGCTGCGTGGGCTCTATCGCTAGGAATATGTACACTGCTACTGCGAGCCTCCACTGTGCCACGGGAATCTCAAGTCGAGCAACATATTGCTGGACGAGAACTTCGTGGCCAAGGTAAGCAAAGACGGTCACACTGTGTTTTTGTTTTTGGTCTTCTTCATATCTACGTCATCTTCACGGCGTGTTCCTTGTTTGTTTGTCCAGGTCGGGGACTTTCGTCTTCCAGCGGCTGCCCCTTTTGGTTGTACGCCAGGTCTGTCGAGTCTATCCTTTTCTGTTTCTTTTTCTCTCGCTTTTCTTCTTTGTTTCCTTGTGTGTTCTTCGTAGTACTACTCTTGAGAAGCTTAAAAATGTGATTTTTGGTTGAGCAGACAGTGGCTACGTTGATCCCGAGTTCTCCCACACGGGCGTTCTCACGGAGAAGAGCGACGTTTACAGTTTTGGCGTTCTTCTCCTGGAGCTCGTCTCGTCCAGGCCCGTCACCACCGCCGGCGACAAGCACATCCTCGACTGGGCTCACGAGTTTTACAACTTCTCCGACGCTCGCCTGGTGGAGATGGTGGACTCCACTCTGCGGGACCAGATCGATCCCGACGAGCTCAAGAAGATCATCACAGTGTCGAGGCTTTGCTCGCAGAGCGAGGCAGCATCTAGGCCCAGCATGAAACAAGTCGTCAATCTCCTCCTGGACAACGCCATCGCGATCTTCCCGCCGCTATCCTTCTCCCCGACGATCAAAGACGACGATGGCGATGGCGATGGCGATGGAAAGCAGCACAGGAGAGTAAATTCGGACGATTCGCTCTCGATCCACTCGGCCACGGGGATTCCATCGTTTAGCACCGCGACTAGCCATGCCAAAAACCTCTTCCTCTTCTCCACAAGTCCTCACGCACCGTCCTTCTCGTCATACTCCACGTACTCGCCCAGCTATTCGTTAAGATTCTCATAACTATAACACCAAAACTAAAAGGGGGGTTTTAAAAGTAAAAAGGATTCCAGGATATTCTCATGCGGGGATATTCCTATCTGGCAGTATAACGACGTCTGGGTATATTCAAATAGCATGGCGATAGGCCACTGACCAGAGATGCCGTCCACGTGGTTGAATCGGGTGCTCTTTGCGGATATTCTTACGTATTAAAACGAAAAAGCGTTGTGCTGACATTGACGCATGGGGTTGAGCGTCCCAGCTGGCAGACACGTTGCCCTAAGTCGATGACGTGGAATTAGATGAAGTGGGGGACGTGGCATTTTTGTTTTGCATTTTTTAGGGAGCCAGGCATCCTGCCAAAGAGGGAGAGAGTGTAGCAGTCGCCGCTCGCTCGCTCGCTCGCTCGCGCTCGCCCTATTTCTCCCCGCGAATCTCCAATCCTCTCTTCTCGCAGCGCCAGCGCCAGCGCCATCGCGGTGATGCGATGCGATTCTTCTTGTGCTTGAGCGCTCCCCGCTGCTTGCCAAGGCGATTGACAGGAGAATCTCGTGTTCTTGCCCACCTAATCAATGGGATTCCTCGCTGATCCAGTGCCCGGGCTGGGATTGGAACCAGTAGGGTAGAAAAGCGGCGAGCAGCGGCGAAATTTCTTGGCATTGGAGGAGGCTACTGTGGCATGCGGATCAGGCGAGCGGCGGGAGCAGCAGGAGCAGCGGAATTTCTTGCGGCGATTGGTGGCGCGGATCGTCATGGCGAGGTTCATACCGACATCGATTAGTTCGCTGCTGCTACTGCATTTCAAATCGCCATGTGAGTGTTTCCAACCCTCTCTTCTTTGGTAGCGCTGCCAGATTGAGGAGCATGCAGCGGCTCACCGAAAATTTCCTCCTCCATAGTCACCGCCAGCATCATCCATGCTTCTCTTCTTATGCCGCCACTTCTTCGTTGCCAGATTCTTCACGCCCCTTAGATTTGTGGATAGATTGCAATCTCTGGATGCAGCAGCCCGGATCATGGATCACACCTTGGCCGTTTCTTAGGCATCGAATGAGCAAGCATGTCGATTGGTTGGTAACACTTCCGCTCTAGCATTTCAATCAACTCACGCACATCTCACATATTTATCTATCACTACTTCTACTACTCACACAATTTTGCAAGCTTTGATTCTTTGATTTTTCTCTCTCCCACACACTTGGATAGAGGACTAATCTTTTCCTTGGCTTTGTTTTTTTCTTGGCAGTTCCTCAGCAGCATCTGGAAGCATCGTGCAGTTCATGCTTTAGCAGTTGTCATCACGGAGGTCCTTCGTTACATGGTGGAGATGGCTCGTGGGAATGGCTGGAACATCTCATCTCCGGTCCCTGCCAGCAGCACATACTCGCGCTCGCGCTCAGCATCATCATCATCATCTCCTACTCACTCATCCTGGTATGGCAAAGGGTGCGCTTCTATGGATCCGTTTACAGGCCCATCAAGCTCCACCACTCGGGTCTCAATGGCGTCCACATCGAAGTCTCGCAGACCAAGCGCATCGGCCTGCTCTTCAAGCTCACGGCTTTCAGCTGCTGCTACATGCTGCTGCTCAACGTTCTAGCATTCGTTTGTGGGATCTGGAAGGCCTGGAGCGGATGGACAGAGCTCTTGCTGCTGATGTGCATCGCCTCGGCCGTACAAGCAATTGCCTGGGTGGTGATCTCGTTGGCCACGGATTCGGTGAGGAAGACTGGGGCTCCAAAGTTTCCGGGATTGCTCAGGGTGTGGTGGCTCCTCTCCTTCAGCTTGTGCCTCTATCGGCTGTCCATGGATATCATCATCGCCAGGCGCACAGGCTCCATGTCCTTTCAAGGCTGGCTGGAAGTTTGCTCGTTTCCGGCATGCGTTTGGCTCGGGCTTGCTGCACTCATTGGAAAGTCCGGGGTAGTCCATGTTGTGGAAGAGATTCACCAGCCTTTTCTCAACACTAATGGCACCGGCGGAAGAGAGGGAGTTGTTCATGGCTGCGAGTTCGTCACTCCATACAGCAAGGCCGGGGTTCTCAGCTTGATGACATTCTCGTGGCTGAATCCGCTGCTCGCTGTGGGAGCTCGCAAGCATTTGGACCTCAAAGACATTCCTTTGCTGGCACACCAGGATCGGGCCGAGGTGTCTTACATGAAGCTGAAACACAACTGGGACAAGCTCAAAGCGGAGAACTCGTCGAGGCCACCGTATCTCTTCATGGCGATTGCAAAGTCGTTCTGGAGGGAGTCGGCTTGGAACGCCTTGTTCGCGCTGTTCAACGTCCTGGCTTCGTACGTTGGTCCATACTCGATCAACGACTTCGTGGAATATCTCGGTGGGAGGAGAAGGTTTGCCAGAGAAGGAGTTTTCTTGGCGCTGCTATTCTTTGGTTCCAAGCTTGTGGAGAGCCTGACACAGCGGCAGTGGTATATGGGGATCGACATTCTTGGCTTGCATGTCCGCTCGGCATTGACAGCCTTCGTCTATCACAAGGGGCTGAGGCTTTCGAACTCTTCTCGGCAGGGTCATACCAGCGGAGAGATTATCAACTACATGGCAGTGGACGTTCAACGAGTGGGCGACTTCTCGTGGTACTTGCAAGATACTTGGGTACTTCCGCTGCAAATACTTCTGGCGATGGCGATTCTTATCAGAAGCGTCGGTTGGGCTGCCTGTGCGACTTTAGTGGCTACATTCATCTCGATCCTGGGAAATATACCGCTAGTCAAAATGCAGGAGGATTACCAGGACAAACTCATGACTGCGAAGGATGAGAGGATGAAATCGACGTCCGAGTGTTTGAGGAGTATGCGGATACTTAAGCTCCAGGCCTGGGAAAACAGATACTGTAAGAAGGTGGAAAAGCTCCGGGAGGAGGAGTACGGATGGCTCCGAAAGGCTCTTTACACTCAGGCAGCTGTGACGTTTATTTTCTGGGGAGCGCCGATTTTTGTCTCAGTCGTCACTTTCGGGACCTGCGTCCTGATGGGGATTCCACTCACTGCTGGACGGGTTCTCTCGGCTTTAGCTACGTTCCGAGTATTACAGGAGCCTCTTCGCAATATACCGGATCTCCTGTCTACTATTGCTCAAACCAGAGTATCACTGGACAGGCTCTGGATTTTTCTTCAGGAGGAGGAGCTCCAGGAGGATGCAAGCATACGGTTGCCCTGTGATGACCGCACGGAAAATGCAGTCGAGATTGAAGATGCTTCTTTCAGCTGGGATGAAAGCGTGGCGTGTCCTACTTTGAAGAACATCAACTTGCGCGTGAAGAAGGGTATGAGAGTCGCAATTTGTGGCGTTGTTGGTTCGGGGAAGTCGAGCCTTCTCTCTTGCATCCTCGGTGAAATACCAAAATTGTCGGGAACAGTAAGTTGTTGGGTTTGTGCGTTTAAAAAGCTGGACCGTATCTGATCTTACTTGTTTTCTCAGGTAAAGGTGGTGGATTCGACTGCCTACGTTGCACAATCTGCTTGGATTCAGTCAGGGAAGATTAAAGACAACATCCTGTTCGGGAAAAAGATGGACAGGATGCGGTACGAAAATGTGTTGCAAGTTTGCGCACTCAAGAAGGATCTGGAGCTTTTTGCGTATGGAGACCTCACCGAAATTGGTGAACGAGGAATCAACTTGAGTGGAGGCCAAAAACAAAGGATCCAGCTCGCCAGAGCATTATACCATGATGCTGAGCTCTACCTGTTGGATGATCCATTTAGTGCTGTCGACGCACACACGGGAACAGAGTTGTTTAAGGCTAGTGCTCTGACTTTTATCTCCTCTTTCCGACTAATTGGTTGTTTATTGTCACAGAAATGCATTCTTGGGGATCTTGCCACAAAGACCGTGTTCTTCGTCACTCATCAAGTGGAGTTCCTTCCTGCAGCGGATCTAATTTTGGTACGTCATCCCATGCGTAGCGTTTTTTTTTTTTTTTTTTTTCCTCTCTCTCTCTCTCTCTTGAACAATTGTATATTGGTCACCTGCTGTCAGGTGATGAGGAATGGCGAAATAATACAGGCCGGTAAATACGACGAGCTTTTGCAAGCCGGTGCAGATTTTAATGCGCTGGTGGATGCTCATATCGAAGCCATCGAAGCCATGGATATAAACGAGTATTTGGTTGGATACGAGGACGACTTCGAGGACAAAGTTGAAGTGGATAGAGCTGGCGGGAAACTCAACAAGGTGGGCAGCAAGAATGCGGATAGAGCTGGCGGGAAGCTCAACAAGATGGGCAGCAAGAAGGATAAGTCTCGGAAAGCTCAGCTCGTACAGGAGGAAGAACGAGAACGCGGAAGTGTCAACCTTCACGTCTACTGGTCCTACCTCACTGCAGCATACGGTGGTGCGTTGATACCAGTGATCCTGTTTGCACAGTCTATGTTCCAGTTCCTGCAAATTGCCAGCAACTGGTGGATGGCTTGGGCAAGTCCGACAACACACGGAAGATCTCCTCGAGTCGGCAACTTACTCATGATCCTGGTCTACACGGCGCTGGCTTTCGGGAGTGCTATCTTTGTCTTCGTCCGAGCAATGCTTGTCTCCGTTTTTGGTCTTGTGACCGCACAAAAGCTATTCGTGAGCATGCTCTCCTGCATCTTTCGGGCTCCAATGTCTTTCTTTGATTCCACTCCAGCGGGGAGAATCCTCAACAGAGTAAGTTTTTATATATTTTTCTATTCTTTTCCTCGGTTAACTCTTTGATTCTCTTGTTTCTCGACAGGCTTCAACTGATCAAAGCGTTGTTGATCTTGATATACCTTTTAGACTTGGAGGTTTTGCTTCAACAACGATCCAGTTGTTTGGAATTGTCGGCGTGATGACGAAAGTTACCTGGCAAGTTATCATACTGTTCTTAACAGTCGTTGCTATTTGCGTCTGGATGCAGGTATGTTCGCTGATTTTTTTTTCCTTGATTTTCTGTCAACGGATCATTGTCTTCTTTGTTGCAGCAATATTATATGGCGTCTGCAAGGGAGTTGTCCAGACTGGTTGGCATTTCGAAGTCACCTATCATACATCACTATAGCGAATCAATTTATGGAGTTGCTACTATCCGAGGTTTTGGACAGGAAGAGCGGTTTAAGAAAACAAACATGGATTTGTACGACTCGTATGGCCGACCTTACTTCAACAGCTTTGCTGCAATCGAATGGTTGTGCTTACGGATGGAAATTCTTTCTACGTGTGTTTTTGCATTTTCTATGGCGCTGCTTGTGAGTTTCCCTGTAGGAGTGGTCGATGCAAGTGAGTAAAACGTGTTTTTATTCTTTAGTTTCTTGCTCTTGTCTTGATGGATTGTTTTTATATTTTCTCAGGCATTGCTGGCTTGGCGGTGACTTACGGACTCACATTAAATGCAAGGCAGTCAAGGTGGGTGTTGAGCTTGTGCAAACTAGAAAACAAGATTATCTCCGTGGAGCGGATCCAACAATACACTCGTATACCGAGTGAGGCACCGCTGGTTCGAGACAACTGTCGTCCACCAAAGGACTGGCCTTCGGAAGGAACGGTGGACATAGAAAACTTGCAGGTATGGATTACCCGTAATGTTTGTCTCTTACAACTCTCTTTTCTTTCCTTACAATTTTGTCAGGTGCGGTATAGCTCACGTACTCCAATTGTTTTGCATGGAGTCACCTGTACATTTCCCGGAGGAAAGAAGGTTGGAGTCGTGGGCCGGACTGGCAGTGGAAAGTCTACTCTTATTCAGGCACTCTTCCGGATGGTCGAGCCAATTGGTGGTAGGATAATTATCGATGGCATCGACATATGCAGGATTGGGCTCCATGACTTGAGGTCTCGCTTGAGTATCATCCCGCAGGATCCCACATTGTTCGAAGGGACCGTTCGCGCCAACCTTGATCCCCTTGAAGAGCACTCGGACACTGAAATCTGGGAGGTAAGCCAGCACCATCTTTTTGTCCCTTTTATCTAATAGTTCTTCCAGGCCCTAGACAAGTGTCAGCTCGGGGATTTGCTTCGTTCAAGAGAGGATAAGCTTGACTCGCCAGGTATGTGTGGCTTCTTGCACGACTCATGTTCTAAACGTGCAGCTTTTCTAAACTTGCAGTGACGGAAAATGGCGAGAATTGGAGTGTTGGACAGAGGCAGCTGTTTTGCTTGGGACGAGCTCTGTTGAGGCGTACACGCATTTTGGTCCTGGACGAAGCCACGGCGTCCGTCGACACAGCAACGGACGGCGTCGTCCAGCGCACAATCCGTGCGGAGTTTCTGAATTGCACGGTCATCACTGTTGCTCACAGGATTCCTACGGTGATTGACAGCGATCTCGTACTGGTGCTGAGCGATGGTTAGTAATCACACCACCCTCTTCCTTTCTTTCTTTTCATAGTTTTGTGGGATGGTAATGGTTCTTCCTCGCAGGAAAAGTAGCTGAGTTTGACACTCCGATCAAGCTGCTGGAGGAGAAGTCCTCCATGTTTCTAAGACTAGTGACGGAGTACTCGATGAGATCAAGCAGCGTTTCAGACTTGACGCTTATAGGGTCGCACACATGAAGAGTTTTGTCTTCCATCAGGCAGCAGCAGCAGCAGCAGCAGCGAGAATCTTGAAAGAGTTCCAATCAGACCGGGGAGGAAACGTTCACACAAAAGTTTTGCGTCCATCCTGGCCGAGGTAAAATGCTCTACAGAGATTTTTTGTAAGCCTTGGAACCATGTATCGAAAATTTTCCAGGTAGAGAAGAGAAGGAACTTGCGGTCATGTTGTCTAAAACAAGAAAAGAAAAATAACTACGTTATATTGTTCTATGTACAAATTTGTTCTTTTTGTTTGGTTCCAAACTGCTCAAATGTTTGATAAGAAATTCTGTTGTGATGATAAGAACGTTTGATCAAGAGGATGTTTTTATAGTGATGATAAGAATGTTTTATCAAGAGAATATAGGCTAATAATCCCCTCGAGCTCGCTCCCTTGAAGCGCTCGTCAAAGACTCTTTGTACAATCGCAAGTAATATACGTATCTTGCAATCTTACACCAACCAATATCAACCGTCACGATTACTGCCACGTCTGTGCCAAGACTCGGCCTCGCTATGTGTGATCTTTAAAGGCCGAAGCAAAAGTTTTCCTGGAATGTGCCACCGCAGCACCGCGCAATGGACAGCAAACCCAGAGGCTTTGGCACCCGAGTGATTCCGCTTGGAGAGATCGAGGTCCTCGAGGCCGAGCACCTGGAGAAGATCTGGGAGACGAGCGATGGAAGAGCTCTCTTTTACAAGCCTGTCCAGGTACCAGATGGGTTTCATGCGCTTGGCTGTCATGCAAGACGAACAGAGGTACCTGATAGCTTGCTGCTGTTAGTGCGAGGCAGCGGCGTCACCGCCGGTGCCTCCAAACCAGCTCCTCTCGCTCCACCCGTCGACTACTCACTCGTCTGGAAGAGCCCAGTTAGAAGCGAGAATGAGACGGCCATGGCTTTCTGGTTACCTCTGCCTCCCGCTGGTTACAAGGCACTCGGCTTCGTCGCCAGCGTCGCCAAGCCTGGTGTGGACGAGGTTGCCTGCGTTCGAGAGGATCTCACCAGCGATGCCACTATCTCCAACTCCATCTGGGCCTCTTCGTCCTCTTCCGTGTCCAGTTCTTCCTCTTCTGTTTTCACCGGATTGTTCCAGTCCCTGTGGAGTAGACTTCTAATGAGCAGTAGGAGCGTCGCCGACAACAACACCGTGGAAAGCTTCTACGTCTGGCAAACACGGCCGCGTGAGGTGGGAGTCACGGCCAAGGGGCTGAGTACCGGCACCTTCTACTGTTCCTCGTTCTCTTCATCCCCTCTGCCTTCCATAGCCACGCTCCAAAACGTGAGCTTCGATCTGCCTTCCTCCATGCCTAGCTTGCAGCAGCTCGATGCTCTCGTCAAGCGCTACGCCCCGATAATGTTCCTGCATCCGGACGAAGACTTCTTCCCTTGCTCCGTCGAGTGGTTCTTCCAAAACGGAGCTCTGCTCTACAGCAAACAGAACCCGTCCGCTCCGGTACAAATCACTGCGAACGGTGCGAATCTGCCGGGTGGCGAGACCAACGACGGGAGCTACTGGCTCGACTTGCCACGCGATGCTGCAGCTGCCGAAAAAGTGAGAAGAGGAAATCTAGAGAACGCAATCACGTACCTGCACGTCAAGCCTGTATTTGGCGGAACGTTCACCGACATGCAGTTCTGGTTCTACTATCCTTTCAACGGCCCGGCAACTCTCAAAGTCGGGCTCATCAGCGTCAAGCTCGGGAAAATCGGGGAGCACGTCTCTGACTGGGAGCACCTGACCCTTCGCGTGGACAACTTCACCGGGAATTTGTCCAGCGTCTATCTCGGACACCACAGCTCCGGCACCTGGTATCAGCCTTCCGACTTGGAGTTTGATAGCACCACCACCTATAGGCCGTTTGTGTACGCGTCCAAGCACGGCCATGCCCTTTATGCTCATCCGGGAGACAACCTCCAAGGCGACGAAGAACGCGGGCTCGGGATACGCAACGATACAAAGCGGAGCAGCTTCACCTGGGACGTTAGTAAACACCAGCTGATATCTGCAGCTTACTTGGGTGTAGAGGAGCCACCTTGGCTCCAGTTCATGCGTGAATGGGGCCCCAAGATCCAGTATAACTCCAGGACCGAGCTGGAAAAGGTGTTCAAATTCCTTCCCAAAAAGATAAGGAGGTCCATCGAAGATATCTTTAACAGGTTTCCGAACGAACTGTCTGGCGAAGAAGGTCCCACTGGACCGAAGCAAAAAAACTTCTGGACGGGAGACGAAAGATGAATGAGGCAACCTGTTGTTGCAAGCAAAGAAAAATTACATACGGGCGAAGTTCTGGTTGCGTAGGAACACTAACCTGATCGACGCCAAGCTGTGTGGCCTGTAATCTGGTACAAGTTTGTTCATTTCTCTTCCTCGTCCGAAACAGTTGTGTCAAAAACTGGTTCCGGCTGAGTTTGTGCGTATGCAGGAGCAATAAACTTGGGATCTTTTGCAGCAAGTTCGGCATACTTCAATATTGCTTCCCGAGGATCCTCCTCCATCCAGTTCTCCGTCATTGCTCCACCCTCCTGCAGTTCATACGAGTTTTAGAAACAGTGATTTGGCATAAAAGAGATGCTTACCTTCAGTAAGTATTGAGTGAGCAAGCTTCCCTTTGTCGCACCCACACGACCACCATGACCAGGACCATTGATGGGTAAGTCCGGTCTCCGGGATTTCAGAGGATCATTTCGAGCCTTTTCTCGTTGACGCTTGCGGCTTGGTTCGTCTCTGAACATAGGCAGAGCATGCGGATTTCTAACCACTGGTGGAGCTTCAAAGTCGTCCACGGATTTTTTTCGTGGAGCCCGCCCAACACAAACCAGCGCTCCTCTCTTGCTCAAAACCGGGTCGTACAACACGTGAGTATTGCCTTCTCTTTTGTCGCCCGTAGTGGCAAATATCTGATGGTTTCATTTCGTTAGCAAGAGGAAATGAACATCTAAATGCCAGAGTCAGTACCTGATTCAATCGCGGATGCCAAGTACAGCAAACAACACTTCCTGACGAGGATATCCCGGTTTTCCGAACAATCTCAAGTTGCCTTTTGTCAAAGAAGTAAAGCTGTCCACCGGCATTTCCTCCCTTCTCAACAGAAGTACCAGTTAGAATTAGGTGCTCATCTGGACTGAAGGCCAAATTCGTTTGTGCGTAAAAACAAGGAAGCCCTGAAAACACCTTCAGAGGTTCTCGAGCTTTCCGGATGTCCCAAACCTGGAGCAAGGTGTCAGCGGAAGAAACATAAAACGAAAAATACGAAAACTAGCTTTTAGAGTAGCGTCGGTGCTCCTGGAAACCATTGTGTAACCATCAACAGAAAACCGGATCGCAGTTACGTCGTCACCCGCGGCATGGGCCTTACTCAGATAAATATCCGGACGGCTGCCCCATCCTGGTTTGATAGACCAGATCTAGGAAAAGAAAAAAGGCTTGTCAGACGAGAAAACAAGACATAATCCTTACCTGGATGGATCCATCTGCCAATCCCCCCGCGATCGTTTTTCCTTCTAAACCCCATGCGCAAGCCGTAACAGAAACACGACCTGGTCTTGCAAGTTTAGGCTTGATGACCTGCAAAACTGGGAAGTTAGAAGACAATTAAAGATTGTCTAGAACCACTTACCTGTTTCTGAGATTTCAAGTTGGTCACGTCCCATATTCGTAATGATCCATCTTCCGACGATGTTAATATCGTGTTCTTCTCCGACGGATGCCACTCACCACCCGTCAAACCAGAAATATGCCCGCTAGTGTGCTTCAAGTCCCGTATGTACATATCCCCTTTGATGAATTCGCCTAATGACAGACCGTCTCTGTCAAATATCTGTCCCAGGATGCGTGTAAGTAGCTTCAAAACAGACAAATGAACCACATACAAACTCACCTTGGCTCTTGCAGACCCTGTCACAGCAAGAAAACGATCCGCCGAGGGACTCCAGCTAATTGCTCGCATCTGATGTCCTTCAAACGGCTCAATCCGCCTGAACGACTGCAGACGGGAATCCATGCCTTGGAAATCATACATCCGGATCGAGTAGTCGTAGCTCCCTGTCAAAACTCTGGACCCAGAGGGATCAATGGCCAAAGCGGCAACAACCTGGAACTCACAAGCATTAGAATGAAGGTCAACAAAAAAAAAAAAAAAAAAAAAAAACGAAACCAATATGAGTTCGAACGAACCTTTGTGTGTCCCCCGAGAATAATCTCATTGCTTAGAGGAACATGATATTCGTCGTCGTCCTCTTCTTCTTCTTCGTCACTATCACTGCCAGCTCCATCGTTTGGTCGAGGAGGACCGACCAACGCAGGCTCGGTATCATCTTTCTCATCACTTAGAGCAACCGTAGACGGTCTAGGAGGTCCAATCAATTCTTCTGCTGCTGCCTCTTCCTCCTCTGGTCTCGGCGGCCCAACCATAGAGCCATCTTCTCGAGTGCTCAAACTTTGCTCGCTTGGACGCTCCAAGTTATGGTTAGCTTCCGCTACTTTCTTCAAACGCTCGCTAAGATTTTTGTTAAGCTGGGACTCGTCTTCGCTGCTCGATCGCTTTGTGAGCGTGTGGACAGCCTCTACAGATGCTATCGACTTCTCTTGCCTTCCAAAAGACAAGGGAAAGTGGCCTCTCAGCTGGTCTGCCTCGTAAAACTCCTCCTAGAAGAAAATCGCGTGAACAAGCGCTGCATCGGTATTGCCCGGAAATCTAAGAACTTACCATGGTATTCGCAGAAGGAGTAGCAGCAGCACGCCCTATATTGCGAGTTGTGAGAAGAGAAAAATCAGTAGGTTCTTACCATTGGACCGATGCTGAGCTTTGGCGATGGCGCGCATCTGAGCCTGGAGCGCATCGATTAGCGAGGATTCGCAGGAGAATCGACAGAACTTACCATCTCTCGCGCGTCATCTTCGTCGGAGGACATTCTTCCCTTGTCCCACAAAACCCTAAACGAGAAAAGGGAGGAAAATATTTCTAGGGTTCTTGGCCGATTTGCGGCCATGTCGTGGTGCACGATTGAATCCGACCCAGGTGAGAATCTCTTGCTACTCAGCTGATGCGATTGAGATCCTTGCCTCGCAGGCGTTTTCACGGAGCTCATCCAGCAAATGCAAGTCAAGGGCGTCCAGGTAACCTGTTCGCACTGGATGATCGCGATTTCTATCGAAACCTCTTTTGCAGGTGGAGGAGCTCTACAGCTTGGATTTGGAAGCGCTCTCGTTGCTCCGGTGAGTGAGAGCTGTTTTAAGCAGGAGAAGAAGAAGAAAATAAAAGGAGTTCTAAGGATGGTTTTTCCAGGCCTGTCTATGGACTAATCTTTCTCTTCAAATGGAGGCCTGGAGAGAAAGATACTCGGCCCACTGTGAAGGACAACAAATCGATTTTTTTCGCGAGCCAGGTGAAGTGAAGCTCGATGTTCTACTAGTTCTTTCGCTAACTTGGAAAGTTTCACGCAACACAGGTTATAAACAACGCTTGCGCTACTCAAGCAATACTTTCGATCCTGATGAACAGAGTGGAGATCGACATTGGTCCCGAGCTTTCGATGATGCGAGAGTTCGCCAAGGATTTCCCTCCGGAGCTCAAGGGCCTGACCATCAACAACAGCGAGGCCATTCGCACTGCTCACAACAGCTTTGCGAGGCCGGAGCCTTTTGTTCCCGACGAGCAAAAGTTTGCGGACAAAGACGACGACGTCTATCACTTCATCAGCTATCTCCCGGTGGACGGTGTTTTGTACGAGCTGGACGGACTCAAGGAAGGGCCGATCAGTCTGGGCGAGTGTGGCAGTGGAGACGCTGATAGCATGGAGTGGCTCAAGATGGTCCAGCCAGTGATCCAAGAGAGGATCGAGAAGTACTCCAAGAGCGAGATCCGCTTCAACCTCATGGCCGTGATCAAGAACAGGAAGGATCTCTACAACCAGCAGCTGGCGGAGCTCGACAGGCGGAAAAACGAGATAAGTGGCGACGACGGCATGGACGTCGACTCCAAGAGCGGCAGCGGCAACGAGGAGCTGGCACAGATCGACGCGGAGATCGCTCGACTGACCGAGAAGATCACTCAAGAGGATGAAAAGTTCAAGAAGTGGAAGACTGAGAACATCCGGAGGAAGCACAACTACATCCCCTTCCTCTTCAACTTCCTCAAGATCCTGGCAGAGAAGAAGCAGCTCAAGCCGCTGATTGAAAAGGCCAGGCAGAAGACATAGACAAGAAAAGCTCGAAACCTCAGACGACGAACGCTGGTAACAAATTTTTCTCTTTTCTAACTCTCAGTAGAAGACGTTTCCCAGTGCCTCTCCCAGGATCTCGTCGATGCTCCCCTTGACATCGACGTAGTCCTCGTCGTCCAGCAGCGCCACGAGCGACGCATCATCCTCGTCAAAGATTTGCTGCTGCTGCTCAAAGAGATTGGGAGGAGCTTCATTGGCAGGAGGAGGAGGAGGAGGGAGCTTCTCGTCGACCGTCGTGTTCTTGCTCTTGCTCGAGCTCTTGGTCCTCGAGCTCCCGTCGTTATACTTCGGAATCTTGTTCTCGTGGTCGGGCTTCCAGGAGTAGTAGTGGAAAGTCTCGGATTTTCCTTTGGGCTCGTTCTGGTCGACTTTGACCACCACCTGGGCTCCGCAAAGCACCGCGAGCTCGTAAGCCTTCTTATACAGCCCGCCGTTGCGCTTCCGGAACGTTTGCTTGCGCGTCGTCTGGTTCTTGATGAACGCGATCTGGATCTTTTGCTTGCCCTGTTTGAGCTTGAATTTCTGCTAAGACGATCGATCGATAGATCAATGGGAAGAACACATCCAAGAAGAAAGAGGGAACAAGAGAGAGAATAAGAGAGCGATGTTCTCGCTTGGAATTAAACTCACTTTATCAGGTTTGTCGGCTTTGTCGGCCATTCTTTAAAGTTGTCGGCGCCTCCAAAAGTAAAAAGTTGGGTTTGTCGGCCTTTTTAGGGACAAGATGTTTAGGGCGGGGATTAACCAAATCTGGAAGAAATTAAGATTAAGCTGTATGGTCGTCCGGGGAATCGAACCTCCGCCCAGTCCCGCGCGATGGGGCGGACCACTAATGCCAGTGGCACTAGCTCCGGCCGGAGGCGCGGGCGATCCGAGGAGGAAGAAGCTGGCGCTAGCGGCGCTGGCGGCGACTGGGATCATCCGGCGGCGGCGCTCCATCGCCAGCAATCCATGCTCGTGGATGGTAAGCGCCACAGCTTGTCCGTGCCGATTTGCAAGGATTTCGGGCGGGGACGGTGCTCCAGGCCCGTGCACGACTGTCGCTATGCTCATCCTCCTCCCACCGTGGCCGTGGAAGGGTATGCTCTCTCTCGAAATCTCTGGGTGTGGCTCTCAAATCCCTAGTTGCGAGGGTTTTCTCTCAGCGATCAGGTGACCATTTGCTACGACTCTCTTCGAGACAGATGCGCTCGTGGGATTTCGTGCCGCTACTTCCATCCGCCGCATCACATTCGCGTGTAAGATCACGATCTTTGTCCTCTCTCTCTCTTGCATTTGAGACGCCTAGCCTACGATCTCCTTGTTCTTCATCAGTGCCACACAAGAAGCCGTCGGCATTGATCCATCGCCGCTGGGGCTCGAGGTACGTGATGGATTTCTCGAAACATCGTCCATAAGCGCTAACGATTGATTCCTCTTCGAATTCTCCCAGCTGCGAGCATCCAATTTGCTGCTTGGCCCTTCCCCGACATCTCTTATCACGATCTCGAGGCCTTCGATCGAGGTACTTCCTTCTTTCCTCCATGGTTTCTTTATATTCCTTTCTCCATGGTTTCCTCCATCATGGTTTATCGAAACTTTGGCATTTCTTTGTCAGGTTTGTAGGGACTTTGTTCGTGGGCGATGCAAGCGTGAATCGGACGAATGTCGTTTCGCTCATCACGTCCCAGCAGCCGGAGATGGCGATTATGCTATAGTGTGTGTCCGTCTTTTGGTTCCTCCAGCGATCACTCAAACCCGCTCGTTCTTACAGGTCTGCCAGGATTTTATGCGCGGAAGATGCGAACGAGAGACTTGCCGCTACTTCCATCCCCTGGATCATCTAAGATCTCGTGTGAAAGATGTAAGTACAGACTTCCGTACAGATTATCTTTGTTCATCCGTAGTTTTTTTTGTTCTTTCTTGCTAGATTGGAGGTGCTCCTGCTGCCGTGTCAAATCCTCCTCGATACGATTTACCAGGTGTCTACTGTTCTTATCCAGGATACGAGAACCAGGTAAAGTCGTACTCTACGTGATTAGCTTTTGCAAACTCTTACTGTCAGGCGAAGCGAATGAGGCTGGATGAAGCGCTTCTCGACCGGCACCACAAGAGCTCAAACCTTGTAAGAAGACTGTTCTTAATTGTTTTCGGGAAGTTTTTCACGAATTTTTTCCAGCTTATGGAAGCCGCTGGCCAATCTCTCCCTGTGTTTAGGCCGTGCTCACCTCCACGGAATGGTACAATGACCGAGCTCCTTCTTGCCATCACCCGTGAGTGAGAATGTTTTACAGATCAAGACAGGCTCCCGGCGTGCCGAGATTTCTTGCGTAACAAATGTGCCAGAAGCTCGTCCTGTCGATTCGTCCACCCAGCTCCCTACACGCAGGTACTCAACTTTGGAGCAAGAGTGCGTACCAGAGTACTGATTTGTGGAACTCGCAGGTGGTCGACGGCTATGTAACTCTGTGCCGTGATTCTCTCCGAGGCAAATGTTTAAGGGAAGCATGCCGCTTCCACCATCCGACGCAATCGACTTTCCAGCAACGCGATAACTTCGAGAGTTCCAACACGGATAACTTCTATGGGAGCCGAGCGGCAGTAGTAGCAGCTCCGGACTCGTTTGGGGGCCTCTCTCCAAACGAGGACGATGACAATCCAGGCGATCAAGGTACTCCGGGTCACCACAGGCTACAACAGTCTCCCGCTCCTCCTCTTGATCATCTTACTCCTCCTCCTCCTCCACCTCTTCCTTCACCTCACCTCCTCCAACAGCTTCTCCATCTTCTAGTCCTGCAATAGAGAGAAGCAATTTGCCAGAGGCAATGTCATGGCATATATATAATCTTTCTCTCGAATCGTGCCACAGTTGGAGATGACTAGAGCTGCCGGACTGCTCCTGCTCGCTTCCTTTCGGTCAGATGCAAAAAATGCCACTGACTCTACCGCGCTGCGCTAGGTACCCTCCTCCTTTTTGTAGCTACTAGAACCTCTTCAATTCTAAGATATTCCAGCAGATACTGTAAGTTTGCAAGGTCATCTCTTTACGAAGCTCAACCTCACGCAAGCAGAGACGATGTTGTTGTATATGCGGCGAGCCAGGAGCTTGGCCATGAAAGATGTTTCACTCTGTTCTTGAGAAGGTCGAGTCCTCCATCCGAATTGCCGTGTCTATAGCATGAGCACAACAATTATAGTCCCCGCTCCAAAATAGGTGCCTTGAAACAACTTGATAAACAGACTAGAAAATACCTGCATTGATCTAGGGACCCCTTATTTTTGCTTCTTGTCCTTAAAAGAACAATATTGGCTATTTGTGTCATGGATTCTTCTACATCCAAGGATTCCGAGGGCAAGGAAAACATTTATGTATTGCTGCTAATAGGGCTGTTGCTTGTAGTGTTTCTCCCACTAACTATCCTGGCTTTTGTGGCGGATACCAATCGTCACGAACCATGGTGCGACTTCAAGGACATCAAGGTTTTACACGTGGAGCTCCCATCAAACTCAACTCCGAGGTTTGTCTCGGATGTAGAGCTCCAGTTTACCTGCTCGAATCTCAAGCATCGCAAGCACGAAGGTCTGCTGGACGTGGAGTTTGATGCAATGGACGTAAGTTTGAGCTACCGTGGTGTCGAGCTCGCCAAGTTTTCATTCCCCATGTTTGTGCTTCCGAAGAGCAGGAGTGTTTCTGTGACACGGAGGCTTTTGGTGAACGAGACGAGCCTTCCCGTGGTTAAGTTGGAGCTGTTTGAAGCGGATGTCGCATCGGGCAAAGTCCCACTCTCGGCAGCTATTCATGCTAGTGCTCAGTGGGTTCACAGATTCGGCCGGGGTAGCGTGGATTACTTGCAGGCTGATCTTACCTGTGACTTGGGCATGCTTCTTCCACAGAAGGGTGGAACCAAAGCGCAAGATATTGTGTTTGATGGTCAGCAGCTGTGCCCTGTTTACTTGTCCTGTCCCTATTGTGGTTTCAAAGAGAGGGATGGTGTAGTTCAGGCCCCAGGCCAGGAAGGTGGAAGCGCCAAAAGCCTTGAGGGCATCGGTATGGAAGCCTTTGCCAGTCGATGAGATCGCCAAGCTACACACTAAGTTTTATTATTCATATACAATCTAGTTAGATTTTTATAATTTCTATCAAACTAATATATAACGACAGAAAATTCTTGATGCTAGTAAAAACTACATGGCATATGTGCACGATCTACCATATCAACTTGGCATTGATCCATCAACTGACCACCTTGTGTGGATTTAATCGCCACAATCGTTGTGGTTTGGTAGATCTCCTTGGTTGCTCGTGACGCTGAATCCAAGAGGAGACAGTCTTGATTTTCTTTTTGGTAACAGTTTGACTGACTTCTTCAGCATATCTTCTTTAAAGACACACAAAAAATATGACTTACCAACGACAAGGAAAATCAAGCATACCTCATTCCACAATACCATTTGAGTTTTGCCTTGCAAAGCAGACCATGTTCAGAAACTCCGTAATCTCCATATTAAATCCCTCAAGTCTCACCTTGAGTAATCAACAGAGCATAAAAGCAATCCTGTGTCAGCTGTGTCCAATGCATCCTGTCACTTACAAGAAAGGGCTCCACCATCCACAGACTGAAGGAGGAGATGACCCTCCGCAACTTGAGCGTTGCATCCACTGAAGAAATATGTGGAAGCTATCGGCGTTCTTGTCCTGCTTCTTCACAGAGTTTGTGGACTACAGCTTCACGGCCAAGGTCGACGCTGTTTCGTCCAGGAGCATGAAATGGAAGGAAGTGTTGCAGCAGTTCTGGCCAAAATTTCCACGACAAAGTCGCGGTCACGGCCAAAGTTCCGACTCAACAGGTAGACATGCTCGCCAGAGGATGACTCAAGTATACATGATCAAGAGACATGCCCCTAGTTTACTGCTTGACCCAAGAGTGAAATGAATCACAATGCAAAAACTGCAAGCCTTCATTTGCAGGACAGAGAACCAGGTAAAGTCGTACTCTACGTGATTAGCTTTTGTATGTCCTCAAACTTTTGCTGTCAGGCAAAGCCAATGAGGCTGGATGAAACGCACCACAAGAACTCAAACCTTGTAAGAAGACTGTTTTTAATTGTAATCGTTTCGATGTTTGGAAGGCTGGGAGACATCCAAGATGCAAAGAGGTTTTTCGATTCGATGCCCCCCTTTTCGTTTTAGAGAAGTTTTTGACGAATTTTTCCAGCTTATGGAAGCCGCTGGCCAATCTCTCCCTGTGTTTAGACCGTCATCACCTGTGAGTGAGAATGTTTTACAGATGGCTCCCGGCGTGCCGTGATTCTCTCCGAGGCAAATGTTTAAGAGAAGCATGCCGCTTCCACCATCCGACACAATCGGCTTTCCAGAAACGCGATGACTTCGAGAGCTCCAACACGGATAACTTCTATGGGAGCCGAGCGGCAGTAGTAGCAGCTCCGGACTCGTTTGGAAGCCTCCCTCCAATGAGAATCCAGGCGATCAAGGTACTCCAAATCACCACAGGCTACAACACTCTCCCGCTCCTCCTCTTGATTATCTTCCTCCTCCTCCTCCTCCTCCTTCACCAACACCTTCTCCATCTTCTAGTCCTGCAGTAGAGAAGCAATTTGGCAGAGGCAATGTCATGGCATATATATAATCTTGCTCTCGTATCGTGCCACAGTTGGAGCACCTCTTCAATTTAAGACATTCTAGCAGATTCTGTAAGTTTGTAAGGTCATCTTTTTACGAAGCTGAGATTCTTTTGATGCAACATCACGCAAGCAGAAACTAGACATCGATGTCGTATAGCCAGGAGCTTGGCCATGAAAGATTTTTCACTCTGTGGTCCTGCAGCTGCCGCTCAGCTGGAGCGAACCCCATAAGAATTGCAAACCATGCATGAGCAACTAAAAAAAAGGAGAATGCTGAAGGGCTCACTCACATGACCCGCCATCCGGAAGAGGTTCGACAGGAAACGCTGCCACAACCACGCGTCTAGCACGGCAATGTAGACGTTCTCCAAGTGTGTAAGGTAAGAGCATACAGTAATAAGAGGAGCAAGCCTGCATTGTTACTCTTGGGTCAAGCAGTAAACATAGATAAGCTCGATTAATAAATATAACTTTGGCATCTTTAACTCCACCCTCTTCAACCTTGGGGCTGCAGGCTTGAGAGAAGCCGTGGATGCGACGCTCGAGTTCCGGAGGGTCATCTCCTCCTTCAGGTAGAGTTGCTTCCAGTCTGTGGAGCTCCGTTCGATACGTACCTAGTTTCAAGTGGAGGAGTACTCTAGGTGAGTTGTAGAGTTTAATTTGTTGCTGTAGAACCTGGAGGAAAGGAATCTATATGTACGGTATAAAGCTCTAGACTGGTGTTCCTTTTCTGCTTGATGAAATCCTCTATAACACATTAGCACTTGGATTCAGGTTTGATCCAGGTTTGAGACTTGCTTGACTTTATGTTTTGTTATTTTTCATCATCCATCTTTTGTATTCTATCTATGTGCAAGACTTGGCCATTCTTTTCAAGCATGCAGCGGCAATCCTGATTCCAGGGATATTTTATGATATATTTATAGATTATTCCACGGGGATTCATTATTGAGACTCATGATATGACACATTTTTCAATGGTATTTAGAGATTGATCTTCATGGGATCTTGAGTGCATGAAGTTGTGAGATTCTTTTGCAACACTACTTCTACACACTCTGTCCTGAGGGATTGTAACTCTGTCTGCTCGTGTTACGAAGAAAGAAAGCCAGGTGCGGAAAACAACGCTACCAATGAAGGTATGCCTGAATTTTCTTTGTCGTTGGTAAGTCATATTTTTGTGTGTCTTTAAAGAAGATATGCTGAAGAAGTCAGTCAGACTGTTACCAAAAAGAAAATCAAGACTGTCTCCTCTTGGATTCAGCGTCACGAGCAACCAAGGAGATCTACCAAACCACAACGATTGTGGCAATTAAATCCAAGGGCTGGAAAGTCAGCTGATGGATCAATGCCAAGTTGATGGATAATACTCCAAGTGGCCGGAATAACATGTTCTGCCACAAAGGACTCAAGTTCGTTTCAGTTTACAAAGCATCAGATCGAGCTGAGGACACTGAAGACATTCTACATGTGCCATGTATTTTATCTGATTAGATTTTAGCTTGGCGATCTCATCTACTGGCAAAGGCTATACCCTCAAGTTACGTCCATTGCATCAAACTCCACGGGAGCTCAAAGTTACGTCCATTGCATCAAACTCCACGCCCAGAGTGTTTTCGTACTTTCGATGCTTGAGATTCGAGCAGTTAAACTGGAGCTCTACATTAGAGACAAACCTATAAGCCTTAGTAACATTCTTCATAGTTGCCTGCAGATGCAGCTGCTTGGCTATAGAAGCTTGCTGGAGATGGTGGTCTTTCCAAAGCTCTTGAAATGCAACAAAAGATGCCAGAATCTCCAAGGATGAGTATTAGAATGGTGAAGAGAAAAGTTTTGCATTTTTCTTACTTTGCTAAGGGGATGTAGCTCAGATGGTAGAGCGTTTGCTTAGCATGCGAGAGGCACCGGGATCGATACCCAGCATCTCCAAATATGTTCAATTGTGTCTTCATGAGCTCCATGACTCACATTCAATGAGTGCCAAGTTTCTAGAGGTTTTAAAAATGGGCAAGTACATTAGGATTGAGCCTTGATATCTATCATACCTAGAAAATTTCGTGAGAGATTAAATCGCTGTGGTTTGGGCTCTTTGGCATGCTCAAGCGATGGCAGTTCAAGTCCGACAATCCACAGCGTCACGAGCTCTCCAGTCCATTCGTAAAGCCAAAAGTACCTCTTTATTTTCTAAGTCAAGGGTTAGGTTATAATCTTTCTCGCTTGGATTTTTCTATTGTCGAAGCTCTCGTCAGGTAAGCTATGGTCTCTCGCGCTCACGCCGCCCCAACGCTTGCCCGCCGAGCCCCAGCGCCCTGGCATGAAGGCCATCACCGAGCTCCACACCCGCGAGCTCCAGCACATCGAACACACCACCATGGACACCATCCTCGGGGAGGGCACGAGCCAGCGCCAGCTTTAGCTCCAGTTCTTCAAGGTGACGCTCCAGTTCGAGCCCCAGCGCCAGCTGCTTTCGTTCACCCTGCTCACGGCCACCCTGCTCATCTAGCTCCAGCGCCTGGTATCCTTGATCATGCTCGCCACCACGATCCAGCTCCAGCAGCAGCAGTGTACCATCATCATCATGGTGATGGAGCTCCTCTGGTTGTTCACCACCATCACCATGGT